GATGTCGAAATTCCTCGGAAGAGGTGGTGACAATACCCTCGTGGGCGGGAGATGTGGGCGAAGGAGTATCGGACCCTGCATGCCAGAAACATCCCCCATGATGGGGTGTGGTATCCAGAAGGATGCATGTGACATGTGGAAGCATGGCGCATGATGGTAACATGATTGCTGTTGAACTCTCACTTCTGAAGACTGAGTATTGCGGATCCCCCCATCACTGGTCGATGCTGCTTTTCTCAATCAAAGTGTGCCCATCGACGCTCCCACCCTGTCTTTTACATGGAAAGTCTTGGTGCTCAAACTGTGCCCCTTGGCCACCGGATTGCAACAACAACGGTTCCCGCTCCTGAGACGTCGTCCAGATTTACTCAGGACACCCGCTCCTGAGACTTCCTCACACTTTACTCAGGATCGGTGCTCCCGCCTGTGATTCTCTTGCAATTTAGTCAGGACCCCCGCTCCCATCTGAGATCTCCTCACAAGTTACTCAAGAACGGCGCTCTCGCTTGAGACTTCCTCGCGTTTGAATCAAGACTTCCTCACAATGTAATCATGACTCCCGCTTCCGCCAGAGAGCCCTGCACATTTTGTTCAGGAAGTGCGCTCTCGCCTGCGATTTCCATGCAATGTATCCAAAGATCGCGCTTTCGACGCTCAGGAAACACGCTGCGCCAAAGACGCCACTACAATTTACTTAATAATCGCGCTCTCGCCATACTCAGGCATCCCGCTTGAATGTCCCACCCGCCCAGCCCGCCCGTCAGGGGATCGCCCGCCCGTCGCGGGCTCCCGCCCGAGACTTCCTTCAGGAACGGCGCTTTCGCCGAGGACTTCCTCGAACGTTCACGCTCTTACCTTCCTGCTCCTCCTCCCTTTCCTTCCTCCCCCCTCCCTCCTCACCTCCCGTCTCTCTCCCTCCTCTCTTCCCTCATCATTGTGCTTCTCTGCCCTGTCCCCTCTCCCTCCTCTCCCTCCTCCCTTCTCCCTCCCCTCTCCTGCCTCCTCCCTCCCTCGTTCTTTCTGTCTCCCCTCTCTCTCTCTTTCTCTCCCTCTGTTTCTCTCTCTCTCTCTCTCTCTCTCTCTCTCTTTCTGCCTCTAATCAACCGCCCCCTGTTCGCTCCTTCTTTCCTGGCGTTGTCCCTCTTCCTTCGTCCCTCCCCCTCCCTTCCTCCCATTATCCCTCGTTCTCCCCCTCCTCTGTTTGCAGGGCCCACACCAATTCCAATGGCGGGCGCGTGTACGCCCACGAAGGATTGTCCGCCCATTCGGGTTTGCCCGCCTGTCTATGCCCGCCGCCCCCCGCAAAGAGAAATAATCCCCCCAAAAGGGGGTGTGATCGAATGCAAAAAAGCGGGTATCGAGGGTGTGGGGAACTCGTGTTGAATGACACGCGGGCAAGTAAGAGCGAGCAGTATTATAATTGTTGGTATTGTTGCTGTGTCTGCTGCTGTTGTTGTTTTTGTTGTTGTTGCTTGTTGTCGTCGTCCCGCCCGCGACTCACCCCGCGACCCACCCAGCGACCCACCCCGCGACCCACTCCGCGACCCACCCCGCGACTCACCCCGCGACCCACCCCGCGACCCACCCCGCGACCCACTCCGCGACCCACCCCGCGACCCACCCGCGACCCACCCCGCGACCCACCCGCGATCCACCCAGCGACCCCTAAGGGAGGAAAAAACACCCGGACCCGACTCTAGACGTTTACTAAACGGCCCTGGGCATTGACTAAACAACCCTGTCCTGTTCGATTCATTCCTTGTGTGCGTTTACCAAACGGCTTCGCTTGTCGGGGTGATTATTACGGGGTGGATGTCCTGCCCTCTACACCCGCGACCCACCCGCGACCCACCCGTGTTTGCGACCCACCCGCGACCGACCCACATAGGTTAAACTAAAGAATCGGCGCCTGCGGCGGGCTCTTATTTTTTTATTTTTATTTTTTTTACCGAAACGGCGTGCTACACGAGCTCCTTGCACGTGCGACGTTTGACATCGTCAACGGCACTCGTCATTCCACCGACCCGACTTGGTGACCTCTGATGGTGAACAATGAGCGGCCCCACAGCTGCCGAGACGGCAACAGGACCAGATCGATGCTCAACCTTGCAGGGATATGGGGACGGCTGTGACAAATACTGGCACGAATCTCGGATCAAGAAGCGGAAAAAGGCACCCGCAACTGCAAAACAAATTCGAGCCAGAGCAAGGCGTGATGATTCAAAAATCTATTGAGGTCCCTGGGCATTGCCGACGGCCATGCCATTGACACATTGCCCAAGCAAAGAGGCGGGCAATGGTCGACACCTCTGTCGACGTTGGTGTCAACCAGAGGCGATACGCCAGTAAGTGATATGCAGCAAGCCCCCTCTCCACAAAGTTTGGCCACAGAAGCCCTGATCGCACTCTTCCCGTCCTCCCATTAGCAAGCTGCTCCATCCTCCCCTCCACCTCGATGTCTGGATGCCAAGCGGAAGACGCCGTTGAGGGCCGACAGCTCTAAATGGGCCATTGAATCCGCCCGCTCAGAGCAGGATCCTAACCTCGATGCGCACCAGGCGGCCAACTGTGAAGCTATGTTACCACGTTCCGCACCCCTCCCGCCGATCTGCATGAAACCCGTGTCCCACTATGCCTCATTGAAACTGAGGTATGCAATTACCGCATGATGGGCAACATCACGCGGATCTTCTTGACGGGTTGCAGGCTGGCATGGACGTTCAGCCTCCACCGCTTAAACAGACCTCCCCAGAAGCATCGCCAGGGGGCCTCGGACTTCGACCTGCGGGAATCCATACGATGTGGACTCGACCAATACACTGTGCCAGAAAAAGCGCTATCCGCGATACAACGGGCACAGGCAACGGAGTGAAACTTCAGCACTGGAACTCATGTAGTGGGCAAGGCGATCTGCAAAGCAACATTCCTGCAAAGTACCGAGCGACCCGACAGGAATGCCTTGGCATTCGTGGAGGTTGTCGCGGTGAGCGCTGTACAGCGCGCTCCCCCGTGCAGGATCGCTGAGGGATCTCACAGGATATGCATGCGACTGGTATAATAAGTGCAACAGAGCCGAGCTGCACGGACAAATGGGGGAAGAGAAAGAGAGACTAACGGGAGGATCGAGAAGGAGGGATTGGGTGGGCGCGAGCGCGCGGTTGAGCACCGCAGGAAAGCGCACCTCTAGGGGAGGGCGCTGCCCCAAGCACGCGCAGGACTCCACTACTCGTCTAGAGGCGGCTGCTTCTTAGCCGCGATCCTGTCACGACAGGGTGACCGTAAAAAATCTACGCGGTGGCACCACCCTGGGCGCACGCCTCGACGCGGGAGCAGCGGCGGAGGGGAGTGGGCCGCCAAGAGGGGCCGAGAGAAGGAAGCAGGGGCGGGAAAGGAAGAAGGAAACCGGGAGGCGGAGAGGAGCGGGGCATGGAGAGCGCGCGGCGCATGGACCGCCTCAGAAGGCCAGCGAGACCCGCTGCGTCCAGTGCTGGCTGTGCTGGTGCGGGAAGGACGCGTGGCTGGGGCCCGCACCTCGCGAGACGCCCTCGAAACGCCTCGGAGGCAGGGGCGGCGGTGGAGCCGGGACCTCCCGCGGCTCCTGCTCCCTCCACACTGCGGCGGCGGACGGCGCGGCCCCGTACGCCGCGGCGGGCGGCGCGGCCCCGTGCGCGCCGGCGGCCAGCCGCCCGCGGAGCTCCGAAGCGGTCCGCGCGGGCACCGTCACGCCCTCCTCCTGCAGCATTTGGCGGCCCCGCTGCAGCAGCCAACTGCGCGTCTTCTTGGAGGGGTGCACCTTCTTGATGAGTCGAGTGCTGTGGTCTAAGTGGCAGAACGTACAGTCATTCTCCTTCCGGCACTGCGCCTGCGAGAAGAACAAGCACGGCTTGCACATCCCCTGCGCGTGGCCGATGCTGCCCGCGGGAAGCTCCGGATCCCACGCGCACACGGCGTGCTGCGGGGGGACCGCCTGGGCGCCCGTGGACACTCCCTGGGCGAGGCGCGTCTGCGGCAACGACCCGGGGACTGGGCCGACGTGGACCTCATCATCGCAAGACAACAGGGGCAGCGCGTGAGCCACGGGGCTGCGCGCGGGACCAGGCCCCATGTATGCGGGCATCGGGCTGGCCGCCCGAGGTGGCGATTGGAGCAGCGATTCTGGCCGCCGATCAATGGCCAGTGGGAGAAGGCTCAGATCTGCACAGGCGGAACCACAACAGCCTTGAGCCAAAATGGCTACGGAGGCGCCTGCGGCGGGCTCTTTGTACAGTTTGTGAAACGTTGGGGCCTGCGTCGGGCTTCTCCAGAGTCTCGTAAACTGCCGACGTCCCCACCGTCCGTATCTGCGGGGTGCTACGTATAATCTTGCATGTTTAGCTGTGGCTGGAATCCTCTGGGGACCTGCAATGATGCCATGGGGTCAGGCTCTGGTCAGGAAAGTAAGCCTTACCGAGGGACAGTCGTACATCATCCCTGATCACCCCTCCTCCTCCTCCTCCTCCTCCTCCTCCTCCTCCTCCTCCTCCTCCTCTTCCTCCTCCCCCGCATCCTCCTCCTCCTCTTGATGCCCCCTCCCCCTCCTAATCCCTCCTCTCTCCTCCTCCTAATCCCTCCTGTCTCCTCCGCCTACTCCTCCTGCTCCTCCTCCTCCTCCTCCTCCGCTTCCTCCTCCTCCTCCTCCTCCTCCTCCTCCCGCGCGCGCGGGAGCACGCGACTCCCCGAGTCGGGGGGCGTCTTGGGGCCCTCTTGGACCGTCATGGGGCTGTGTTCGGGCCTTCTCCGGGCCCTGTTGGGCATCATTGGGGCCCTCTTGGGCTTTGTGCCATTGTGGCCCGTTTGGGTGCCATGTGCGGGGCCTTTTGGGCTGTCCTGGGAAACCGAAGACCGAAGGACCAGGTACCCCCAAGTCGTGCAAAAAACTGGCAGGGAATGAATTTCTCTATGCGCTTGGAAAACCTATCGGGTGATTTCTAGGGGTCCTTTATCTATCAGGGGAGGGGCTACCACTGACCGGCGGCGATCCAGGAGGGGGGTGGGGCAAGGGGGACGGCCATTGGAGATTGCAAGTGGTGCAGTCTCTCAGTCGAACATTTCTCGCGGTCAAGCGCCACACGCGAGTGCCTGCCTGGACAAAACGCGACACCGTGGTCAATCGCAAACCCAGATCGAAGAGGAACAGATCGAGCTCCATCCGAGTTTAGAAAATGCATGGTGCAATCCGTCTCCCATCTCTACACGCTCTTTCTATGCCCTGTTCATCCGCAATTCGCATGCGTTGACCTCGGTGTTAGCGAGACGGTTCTTTTTTGATCTCAGCCCAGCTGCCAGAAAGACACTCTTGGTGGACAGAGTCGTCGTAGTCATGCCCATGACCATTTGCGACGTAAGCGGTCGTCAACATAGTGTCCATGAACATCCGATTCTCGCTTCCATGCTTGCGCATGCATTGATGTAACGGCACGTGTTCGCAATCGTACACACCTGGATCATAACGGCACTGGAACAACGCCTCAGATCTGTATACAGCCATCCCACCGAAGCAAGAGTGCACCGGGACCAAGTCGTACCCGGCCCACAGCTTCATGCCCTGCTCTTTATCCCTGGGGCAATCCCCTGCATTGAACGTGTCGTTCTTCTTTGTGCGGAAAGCGAAACAATCGTACATGCCGTATGGAACGTCTTTGTTCTCAGTTTTGTAAAGGCCATTCGCGCACACCATGTCCCACTCGCGTCTCGCAGTCTCTTTGCGCCCCAACAAGGAGAAGAAGGAATGTGACGAAATAGCGAATGGCCCATATTTGAAAATATCAAAATCTACCATAACGATCAAATCCCAACCAGAGCTCTGCTGCACGAATTCCCCGATCCAATCGAGCAACCTGTTCCGCAATGCAGCCATGCGCTGGAATCTAGATGGCTCAACGCCCCTGTCATTGCCGAGCATCAAATTTTCAGACTTGCACTCGAATCTGGGATCTCTTTCACTAGCTACTCGTAACCATCGCTTTGTCTGGTCCCGCGAGTCGTTCTCCAAGACGAAGAAATGGTAATCCTTGAACTGGCGAGCAAGAACCTTGAGAGCAACGTAGGCGGGGATGATAGATTCTCCAGCGTCGCGCACGAGCCCAGCAAACACTACCTTCACCTCCGCTGCCATCCTTCTCCCACGCTCAATGTTGCCCTCCACGAGCTTCCAGTTCTCCCTGACCACGCCACCCAGGGGCGTAGGGAAGCACATGCCTGGGCTGGAGAGATTCATGATCATGTAGTCCTCCCTGCTCTGCGTCCTCCAAAGCCTGCCCCACATCCGGCCCAGCGCCGCCGCGGGCGAGACAATCTCATCGTACCTTATCCCGTCCTTGTATCCAACCCCGTTCGCTGCGTAGTCCTGGGGATTCACCGCCGGCTCTGTCCTGCTTCGTCTGACCGTCACGGCGGAGGCGCAGCGCAAGTACTGCAGCAAGACGATCAATCGGCCAGGGAGTATCGCGACCATGAAAAATGAATGCTCTATTACGGTAACGGATCCGACTATATTCCTCTCTTACCCCGGTTGGGGCAACCCCTGCCGGCATCAGCCACAATGGCTACGGATCAGAGGGCAATGGACTCCAGGACTTCTTGGGAGGGCTCGCAAGCTTCTGGTAAGGCTTCTCTGAAGGCAGGGGGCGTTCGAATTGAAGATTGCGCGTTGCCAGTTAAAGATGGAGGGCCCTGCGTATTGGAGCAGAGACTGCGATGCCACCCTTCCTGCGCGAAACAGGGCATGCTGTGCTCGCGCACTGGGGAGGGGGCGGCAACGAAAACGACGACGCAACAGCGGACGACAGCGGCGAGTCTGCGAGAAGCGGCCCCCTGGGCCGGGCCAGTCTGGGAGCTGCGCCCGGCCGTGGAACTGAGAACCTCCAGGCACGCCCAGAAACTCCTGGGAGCCAAGAATCGAGTAGGGGATCAACTACATCATTGATTTGCCCCGAACTTGATTTCCCCCGTCGAATAGACGACGAATGCGTAGATTGCTCGCGAATCTACTGAGGATTCTAAGTATGTTCCGTAAGTTCGACGAGAAAGTTAATTCTATATGGGATATACCAATTCTGTAGTCAATCCTCTACTCGAAAGAACGGCGGCACTCACACCAACGCAGGAAGGAGCCTCAACCGGGAAAGTGATTCTGGCTTTTGATGCTGGTGGCGCTCGCTCGGACCCCTAACCCTCGCGGAGATCGGGATCACCCTCGAGGAGATCGGGATCATCCCTCGGTGGAGACAGCCGCCGATACTGGTGTTGGTGTCAATCTCCAGGCCTCCCAAACCTTCCGAGCTGACGACGACGACGATGACGACGACGACGACGACGACGAGCGCGACGACGTCGGCGGCGGCGGCGGCGACGATGACGACGGGGGGAAACGTCGGAGGAAGGTGCGCAAGAGAGGTTGGCCAGGGGGCGCGCGGGGCTCAGCGCGGGGAACTGGATCGATCTCAGCACCGCCGCTCTCCACATCCGATCCCGATCCTCCGTCCACTTCCGCTCCGGTGGGGCACGAGGGGAAGCGAGAGGAGCAGGAGGAGGAGGAGAATGAGGAGAAGGAGAGCAAGGAGGAGAAACTCTCCACATCCAATCCCGATCCTCCCTCCACTTCAGCGCTCGTTGGGCACGAGGGAAAGAGAGGGAAGGAGGATCGGGAGGAGGAGGAAGAGGCTGAGCAGGGAGGAGGAGGAGGAAGAAGAAGAAGAAGAAGAAGAAGGACCGGTGTAAACCAAAGACAGATCAACGATGTTGCAATAAACCCTCCCTCCAAATTTCCTCTCCATTAGCTCCTTTAAAGATCTGTGTCCACTGCGGGAGGAACCCCGTTGGAAGACAACTGTCTGAAAATCTACAACCGCACCAAAACATCATTCCTGGGACTGCAACGCCGCGAATCAACGTGAATGTTGCAACCTGGTGATCCTAAATCGTGCCAGAACACCGTGCCAGAACACCGTTTCTGGGACGACAGCACCGCAAACCAACGTGGCTGTCGCGCCCTGGCTATCCTAATTCGTGCCAAGACAATGTTTCCGGGCCGTCTACCATAGTAATTCTTGAATGTGTTGTTAACTGTAATAACGAATGTGCGCGGCGCTATGGCGATATTCACATTTTGAAGACGAGCCGCCTTTTACGCGTGAAGCCCTGCAATTATTTAAAGCGACAAATGTGCGCGGCGCTGAGGCGAGAACCGCCCTCCATCGTAGAACTCTTTCCAACTTTTAGAACGAATGTGCGCGTCGCTAAAAGCGAGAGCCACATTTCGAAAAGAACCACCATCCGTCCGCGAAGCTGTTGGATCTTTTGAAGACGACTGCGCGCTGCGCTGAAGTAAAAACTATATTTTGAGAACCGCCCACCCATCAGCTGAGAAGCTGTTGCCAATTTCAAGCTTCAGGATCACCCGCCGATCCCACGAGGCGTGCGCGATATCCTTTGTCTCGAGACACCAAGCCTCCTGACACACTCCAGCCTTTCGTTTTGTACCCACGCCCACAACCACGCCCCAGCGTCCCCGACCCTCTGGAAACCTGTTCTTCGGACCCCCCGCCCGACAATTTCTCGCCCGGATCCGACCCCGTTCGAGCTCATGGTTTGACATACTGGCGGCCTGGGACCTCTGGTTTGAGGAACCCCACCTCGCAATCTCCCGCCCAAATCTAACCCCCCTCTAGTCCCCCCCGTCTAACGACCTGTCGTTTTATTGAGGACCACCCACACTGCAATTTTCCGCCAGGATTCGGTCTTGTTCCAGCCTCGATTTACCCACCTGGTCTGTCATCCTGGCGGCCTGGGGCCTGTGGCTTGATAACCCCCCCACCTTGCAATTCCCCGCCCGGATCCGACTCCGTTCTAGCCCCCTGGTCTGACATCCAGGCGGCCTGGGATCTGTGATTTGAAGACCCCCACCTTGCAATTTTCTGCCCAGATCCGACCCCGTTCTAGCCCCCTGGTCTGACATCCAGGCGGCTGGCCCCCCCCCCCTCACTGCAGTTTTCCTCCTAGATCCGACCCCGTTCTGGCCCCCTGGTTTGAAATCCTGGCGGCTTGGTGCCTCTGGTTTGAGGACGCCTCACCCTGCAATTGACCCCCAGATCCGACCCAGTTCTAGCCCCCCTGGTCTGAGAGGGGGACGCTGTGCGCCTTGAGCCTTTCTGGCAACACTGACAAAGATGGCGACTCCGACGCGTGTCTCGAACAGCGCAGACTCAGAATTTCATAATGATGATGATGATGATGATAATGATGATGATGATGATGATGCTGATGATGGTGGTGCGGCTGATGATGATGATGGTGAGGGTGAGGATGATGAGTAAGAGGAGGATGCGGATGCGAATGCGGATGCGGATGACGATGATGGTGATGATGATGATGATGCTGATGATGCTGATGATGCTGATAATGATGGTAATGATGATAGTGATGATGATGATGATGATGATGACGATGATGATGATGGTGCTGAAGATGATGATGATAATGCTGCTGATGATGATGCGTATGATGCTGCTGGTGATGATGTTGATGATGGTGGTGATGGTGATGATGATGACGATGATGCTGATGAATGCGGTGATCCTGCTGATGATACAGATGATGATGCATATTGAAATGTTGATGCTGGAGGTGATGATTATGAGACTGATAATGATGCTGATTATGATGATGGTGGCGATAGTGGGTGGACTGGTGACGACCAGGAGGATTATGATGAATCCACAGACGATGACTACACTGCTTATGATGATGCGGATTATGCTGCTGCTGTTGATGCTGATCATGGCTATGCGGATGCTGTTTATGATGATGGGGATAATGGTGACAGTGATGATGCGGATGGTGAGGAGATGGATGAGGAGGCGGACGATGAGAAGGGGGAGGTGGCGTAGGAATAGGAGGAGGAGGAAAAGGAGGTGGAGGAATAGGATGATGATGAGGGGCATGAGGAGGAAGAGGAGGAGGAGGACGAGGATGCCGAGAAGTGGGAGGAGATTGTGGGAATGAGGAGGAGGAGGACGACGTCTGGAAGAGAAGACGGAGACGAAACACGAAGAGGATGACGGGGGCCAGGAGGAGGATAAGGAGGACAAGGAGGAGTTGGAGGAGGTTGGGGGGGAGGAGCAGGAGGGGGAGGAGGAGGTGGAGGAGCTGGTTAAATAGAAGGGGGTGCATGGAGAGGATGACAGATGACGGTAATGGTGGTAATGACGATGATATTGATGCTGGTGGTGATGATAATGATGGTGATGATGCTAGTGATGGTGATGATGATAGTGATGGTGAACGTGATGGTGGTGGTGATGATGAGGATGCTCATGAGGATGCGAATGCCGATGATGATGATGCTGATACCCATGCTGATGCTGATACTGGTGAGGATGATGATGACGATGATCGTGGTGATGATGATGTTGATGATCACCATGATGATACTGATAACCATGCAGCTGTTGATGATGATGATGATGCTGATGGTGATAATGATGCTGGTGCTGATGATGATGATGCTGATGCTGACAATAATGAGTTTGGAGGGGAAGGCGGCGGAAGAAGAGGAGGAGGAAAACGATGGGGGAGTAGGATTCTGATGAGGACCGGGAGAGGGAAGATGAGGAGGAGGCGAATGCACGAAGAAGGTTCAAGAGAATGTAATGATGAGCGGAACCAAGAGATGGACTCGAAGGCTCACAAGAAGGAGGAGTCGGAGGAGGACCATTACTAGAGGATGAGGAGCAGCAGGACGATGATAGATGCTGCTGCTGCTAACACCGATGATGATGCTGAGGGTGATGGGGGTGATGATGATACTGACGATGCTGGTGCTGACGGTGAAGGTCGTGATAAATGGTAATGACCTTGGTGTTCATGGTCATGATGATGAAGCTGATGCTGCGGATGGTGATGGTGCTCGTGATCATGGTGATGATGATGCTGATGGTGATGGTGATGGTGAGGATGTGGATGAGGAGTACGAGGAGGATGCGGATGCGGATGCGGATGCGGAGGATGATGTTGGTGTTGATGGTGATGATGAGGATGGTGATGATGATGATGATGATGATGAAGATTATGATGATGATGTTGAGCATGATCATGATGGTGATGGGGATGATGACGATGATGATGGTGCTGATGATGATGATGATGATGCTGATGATGCGCATGATGCTGTTGGTGATGTTGATGATGATGGTGATGATGATGCTGGTGAAGGCGGGGGTCCTGCTGATGATGCAGATGGTGGTGCGGATTGCCGTGGTGATGATGGTGGTGATGATTATGAAACTGACGATGATGCTTATGATGATGATGGTGGCGATAGTGGGTGGACTGGTGACGACCAGGAGGATTATGATGAATCCACAGACGATGACTGTCCTGCTTATGATGATGCGGATTATGCTGCTGCTGTTGATGCTGATCATGGCTATGCGGATGCTGTTTATGATGATGGGGATAATGGTGACAGTGATGATGCGGATGGTGAGGAGATGGATGAGGAGGCGGACGATGAGAAGAGCGAGGTGGCGTAGGAAGATGAGGAGGAGGAAAAGGAGGTGGAGGAATAGGATGATGGTGATGATGGGCATGAGGAGGAAGAGGAGGAGGCGGAGG